GGGGGGGGGGGGAGAGAGAGAGAGAGAGAGAGAGAGAGAGAATGAGAGAGAATAAGAGAGGTGGGGGTGGGAAGAAAAACTGCGTGAGTGAGTGAAAAAATGTCGGCGGATGGGACTGTTGCCGATTGAGATGTCGAACGCTGCCGAAGATGTTGTCAGCTAGCGGCGAGTAATTTACTACCTACCTAACCTACTGTCTTGTAGAAAGATCATTGCATAAGAGTGATTTGATTCTATAGAATACTCGCGTAGCACGGGGCCACCATGGGACGCGTCTACAGGGATTATTGGAACGAACGAATTACCTCAATCGATTTATTCATCATTAATAACTTAGAAAATCGAGAGAATCTTGGAGTCTCGTTAAAACGCTTGTCCCATAATGGCATAGTAGACGGTAGTTGAGAGAGACTTAGTTAGTTCTTTAGATCCATTGATGAGTAATAGACTCGATTTAGTTAATATAGCTGTCAGTAGACACGTGTACCATAAGCAATGGAGAATAAGACGGAGCGACACTCATTCTCGCAATGTTCTTTCTCGAATACTTATTATAGGGTCTATCGTATCTATAGTAATTGGATACTATAGTACTTGCTATGTACTACATACTACTATTACTACCATTTACATTTTAATATCGATTAGATAAGCCTCTGCACAAGTAATATACCTATGTATGTAAAGATATCTCCCTGTTACAATAGATTGAGAGATGGAGCGTAGTCGCTCGCGGGGAACCGATGCTGTCGTATGGCCGTATGGTAAAAAAAAAAAGCATATTGGAGATATGGCTGGTGTATCAGCTTTTTAAAGAAAGCCTCACTTTTTCGGTATTTTTCGAAAATTTTCTGTCAATCGCGTGGTCCTATAGCGCTATAGCGATTACGGTCGTGGCGGCGAAACCATTTACAGAGCTGCGGCCATACTTACCATCGACGTCACTCGTATCTGTAGTCCATAGTTGCGTAGTATGTACGTAAAGTCTCTCCGGATGTGTCTGCATCCATGCGTGCGCGCGTACACCATTAGAACGAGGAACAAAATAAGAGAAAAAAAGTAATTCGCGCAGACGATACTTGGAGTTGAATTTTCAATGTTACTTTTGTGGCAGACCGCGCGAACGAATGAGGCCAATAGAGAATTTTTGGAAAGGCGAATGAATCGAAAATTACTACAACGAAGATAGAAATCACGTGAGCGGAAGACTGCAGAATTTTGGTCTCGTTTAATCGTTAGTATAACAGACACTAGTAGACTGGAGAGAGAACATCATATATTGTATTGTGTAGACGTATAACTGATCGGAGATTAAGGAGTAGAGTAGATTTACGTTCTAACGATATCACTATAATATAACATCACTGAGACGACTTTGTGCGCGAGTGTGCGTGAAGGAATTCGCGTGTGCATCTAGCAATCTAGACTATTAGGAGATGCGACGATGAATCGAAATTTTTATTGTCAATCCCTTTGTCAACTTTCGTAAACGTAATTACACTGATTATCGATTTTGTCATAATTTCCTCCGTTGCCGTCACCGTCACCGTCACCCTCACTGTCACACCCCCTCACCGTCGTCCTCATTGTCGCTCCTCCAGATTAATCGTCATCGAATCTTTCGGCAGCTCGCGTTACGTCTTCTTCAACAGTTCTGCCTTATGTCCGACGTGTTGCTTCCTGTCACCTCGTAATTCTCCTAATTCTCGTCATTTACGTCATTTACGTCATTTACGTCATTTACGTCATTTTCGTCATCCATCATCGAACATTGGACATCCGGCATCCGATTTTCGCCAACTGTCACGCACCGTTTTTGGTTTTTCATCCTGACATTGCACTTGCCATTCTTCGCGTTTTATCGAGATAATCGACTTCGATATCAATTAGACACAAACTTTGCGAGATAAGGCAATGCAATATCATTGATTTCGACGATAATGGTTGACTTGCTAAATCATGGACAGAAAGCAACACTTCAGGCACAAATAATGCGAATAGTGCGATTAGTGCGAATAGTGCGAATAGTGCGAATAGTGCGAATAGTGCAAATAGTGCGAATAGTGCGAATAGTGCGAATAGTCTTCGTTTTCCAGTCATTTGTCTATTTCGTATTGCCCGTATGATTAACGATTAATGATGTTGCTGAAAATTGCGAACCAATTGTAATAAGGTTTTCGTGTTTCAGTGGACCTAACCAATGGACAGCTTACACCAAACAACAACACGCCCTTGCTTACGCAAGCACTTTCTGGTACGTCACTTAACGTTTATAATAGCGTAATATTCTTGTGCCTCTATGCAATTGACCACGACGTAGGCGGGCTTAATTTTTTCTATCAGTTAATTGCATGCATTTACTACTAGCATAACTTAGCCTAACCTAATACCGGGCACAATAACAATATCAAGAAGAACGAAAGAAACGAGACTGATGGAAGAGAATGAATAACGAGAACAAGGACGATAATACACACCCTTTCCCTTTCCCTTTTCCGTTCGCATATCGCGCAATTTTTCTATGCATCGTTCTGTTGGTCTGACATTCTGTGCTACACTAGTCACAATTTCTTAATCACTTAATCAATTCTTAAAACTCTTAATCACGTTACGTATATCGTCAGAACTCGGAACGTTAGAAACTTTGTTGAACGATCCTTATTGGCATTATTTTCAAAGTTAATCATGAACTTCCTGTTTGCTGCTTATTTCTCGTGCTCAAAGAATAACGTTTGGGACATTATTTTTCAAATTCTTTTTTGCACTCGTTGGCATTTTTTTTTTTTTGTCAAAATTATACTACATGACAATAACGAATTATATTATGAAGCTGTTATGGCGTCTTCGAAATTCAAATTTTAATGCCGAGTACACAGTGCACTTCCCAATTTATCATCTAGCATGGTTTTTTCTCCTGTAACCCGACTAACATGCCGAGCAGCGAAGCGTTGCTATAACTTGCTCGTGTAGGAGTTTCCAAATTTTCTTTTCCTCCGCCTACTCCTCTTCCTTCTAATCCTTGTCGCTCATATATTTCTATCTTGCATAGGAAAACTAGAAATCCTCGCCTTCGAGTTAATATGATTGTTTTTACATTATGTTATAAAATGATTGCCATAAATCGGTGACGACGCTCAATCCCCATATATTTTATAGCGCGTTATGTCACGTGCACTACTTGCAATCGCTATTTAATGGCATATGTAGCGAGGTTATACGAATCAAATATAAATATGGTCTTATACGTTCAGAAAAGTGGATCATCAGTCGGTGCTCTAATGAAATAGCCAGATGGGCCGAGGCGCATGCCAAAAGGCACAAAGGCAGACGAACAGAAAAATATTGAAACATTAAAACATTAAAACAAATAGTTGTACCTGTTCGTTACATGATCGGATCGTTTATCTCTGACAACGGAGATGCAGCAGGGAGAAGATAGATGCACGCGATGAAAAAAGAGGCGTGATCCTGAGAAAGGTATTATACATAGAGGTAAAGGGGTGTCATGGTGTAACCGGACTAACGAAACAGAGAAACAAAGGAAAAAAGGTTGACAGGCAGGGTTGAGATGATAAGTGATTTTAAGAAAGTGACCGGAAGTTGTTCGTTGCAGTGATGAACAACTACCAGGCTGCAGCGCAAGCCGGGTTTCCACCGGCATCGCCACACGCGGCGGGCGGTCATGGCGGGCCACAAGGTCGCTCTTTTCCTGCTGCAAACTCGCCTGGACCCATTGATATGTACAGTTCGAGTGCCGCAGCCGCAGCAGCAGCCGCAGCCGCAGATTCCGCAGTTGCCAGCTACGTCCAGGCAGCAGCAAGCCCGCAGCCTCCTACGACCGCGTTTCCCGCAATCGCCGTCTCTCGCGCCCCGCTCAACTATAGTCCCGTAAGTCGCCCTCTATCCTTTTCTCCTTTCTTTTAGGCCTTCTTCCCTACAATGTTTATCAATTTTCATTTCTCTCTCTCTCTCTCTCTCTCTCTCTCTCTCTCTCTCTCTCTCTCTCTCTCTCTCTCTCTCTCTCTCTCTCTCTCTCGGACGCACGCGCGCGCATCCCTCTATCCTCTCTCATTTCCATATCATCTTCCTGTCTGACAATTTCGTGCTCTATTTTCATTATTACCGTGAGCATTGTCCGGTTCCCTTTGACTGTTCGCTGAGTCATGTTTCTTTTTTTCGATCACGCTCTGCATCCTTCGCCTCTGTGTTCCTTAACATTTCTAACAGCATTTATATATTATGGTTTTATTGGTCTGCACGTCTCTATTTCTTCGTTCAACTATGAGGATTTTTTGTGCATCTATTTTAAATCCACTTTTATAAAATTCATCGATGTGCCGATACGTTTACGACTCGCACAAAGGCTTATATGGCCATCAAGGACAAAAATAATTGCAACTACGAGGAGAACGTAACGTTGTCAAATAAACTTCAAATAGCGAATAATTTATCTCTATCGTAGATAAATTTAATCATATCATTAGAGACATTCTGACGAGGGTTGCAAGTAACACATCATGTGAAAAGAGAAGAACAAAAATTTGGTCCACAGTCTGAGACACTCATCCATGGAAGAAAGAAAAGCTTACGTTTAATCGAAATGTTCTCGTGTTTCAGGGTCCACTGATACCGGCGGCGTTCACTAATGGTTATCACTGAGCCTTTTTAAAACCTAATAACAGGTGAGCATTCTTAGAGCTCGAGATATTCTTTTAAAATGATTAATCGGACTCTGTGTTTGACATATCTTATTATTCTTTTTTTTTTTTTCTTCACTGTTTAATTACTCCATTTTGGCATTGCTCTTGTTTAAAGATACTGATTACCAATGGCAGCCATATCATGCTATTACGCAGACCCTTATTTCGATGATTTTTAGGATGAACGAGAGGGCGGAGTGCGGCGGAGCCGATTGATGGCATTACACATCACGTGGAATCTTACCGAACCATGAAATGTCGGGCACAAAGGCTCATAGAAGATTACTCACGTCGATCCAAGCACACGCATGTGCATGCGTACACCTGCATACGTACGCACGTGTATATGTAGTTTGCATATACGTTATACATATATCTACGCAAACACACACACACACACACACACACACACACACACACACACACACAAAATTTAAACAAATTTGGCGTGACACCCTCCGCCGCTTTATGACTCTTAAGACAGCTGTTACGTTGAAGATTCTTTGAGGACAGACCTCAAAACAGCCACATTTCCTCAAAATAGCCAATACGCAAATTAAATCGTCTCCAAAATGGCCCAAAGCCAAATTTACACACGCATACGCGCGCGCGCGCGCCCGCGCGCACAGAAACATATACATATGCATATACATAATACGAAATACGAAATACGAAATACGAAATACATAATGCATAGTGAATAGATTATAAAACATAGTAAATAATACATGATATACATATATTGTATGTGTATACGTATGCGTTTCAGGCATATGTGTTTATACGTGCGACCAAGCGCATGCGCGTGTCCTAAGGCATATATATAAACGCGTGTACGTGTGACGCATGTTCACCAAGCAAAGAGAGAACTGGCGTTCAAAGAATGACGCGTTTACCTTTGGGTTTCCATCGAGCAGTGCGAGCCAATAGTTATAATTGAGGTTATGAAGCGTCACTGCTAATTTCACTGTCAATTTCCAATCAATTAAATGAAACGAGGAGAGAATTACGATGAGAGGTGACGAGCGTATGGAACGACACGGAGATGAGTCAGTGACACGGGGGACAGTGTGAGGAAGACGTACAACCGTACGTGGACTGGGAAGGTCTATAAAATCGAGAAGCCAGAGAAATCCTAAGAATTTTTCTGCGAACATATAGAAATGTAATCTTGGAAGCTGAAAAATATTAAACGAAAATAAGGGTAACAAATGACGTAGAGCACGAGTCACTATACGACTTGAGGTTGCCGCAACCGAATCTGCGTATTGATGCCAGCCCGTTCTCCGACTTTAATAATCTAATTATTAATTAAATTAATAATTACTTGCTAGATATTACAACTTAACTCTATAACATATTATATAATGTACGCACATATGTATATATATATATATATATATATATATATATATATATGTATACACATGTATTATGCAATACCTAATATGTAATATACATATACGTATGTGTGTGTATGCATGCATGTGTATCGTATGATATGAAATATAATACGTACGCATACGTAAATATGTAGGATAAGTAAATGATAATTACTAGGTAATACATAATTTTTATGTATAAGCGAAAGAATGGATAGTGCAACACGTATGGATATACTTATAGATACATGATTATCTAACGTGCGCATTCACGCCCGGGACAATTTTAATTACGAGATATCAAATTTAATATTCGAGAACTTCGAGTGCGTGGAAGAGTTCAAAATCGTTTAAAGAATACAGGTAATAAGGCAGTTGTCAAAGGCACACATAGATTTTCTATTTCCCGAACTTTTCGAAGCACCTTATAATCGTTTTAAATTCACTTTTAACACAATATTCATTGTAAACCCTTCCGTGTACTGACATCCTTCAATGAAAAAATTCCCAATTCGGTCACTTGCATATTGCTTCGATGAAACTTGTAGCCAATGTGTATATGTTACAAACGTTTTCAGTTTTAAAATATCTTCCAGTTCTTCCCATCTGCAAGGCCACCCCATTCTCGCCGATGACTCCCTTTTTTCATTACTCCGTTATTTCTTTTCTATGCTTCTCTATTTTTTTTTTTTTTTTTTCATTCTTTACATAGATATTTGGCGTGTTATTGCGAGCTTTCTGAGCGTTTCTGAGCTTTTTCTCGAATTCGTGATCGCTGTCCTTTTCTCGGACGTGTATCCGGGAGGATAACTACACTGCTTTGTGCATTCATCCTATGTACATGATAACGCTATTACAATTACTTATGAAGGGCGTCTATGGTGTTGATCTGCCAATCGCCTTGGATCGTCAATGGCTGTTTGCATCCGAATATTTTGCCTGCTTTCTTACGAATCGCACGAATGGAATGACCATCATTCGCCTTTCCCTGACACTGTGTTTATCCAAGACAAGGCGTTTCTTCCGTCCATCTTCTTATTTTGTGCAAAATTTGAGATAATGCAGCACTCAGTCGACTTTAATGTTCAAGAGAGTTACAAGAAGGTATTGAATATGATGCGGGGGGAGAGATGGCAAGTAACAGTTTGGCGGGGAGATATTGCTTGTAAGTTGCATGGCGTTATGTATGAAGAAAAAAGAACTGACGTTTTGCGGGGATGCAGTTAAGAAATAATTGAAGCGAAAGATTCGGGTACTTGATACATTTGTACAAAACCGGATTATGTAATCGTCGTTGCACGAAAATGACGTACTACTTGTGAATACACGTGCGCTTGCGGCGGAGCTAATACACAAGAGAACATTCTAACAGAACCCTGAGTCGGCTAAATTCGAGTTTGTAAGGAAAATTTAATTCATCAAGTTTATTTTTTTTGCAACAGCAAATGCATACGATGCGACCGTCATCGTCTTTCATGGCGTACACTCTTTGTTCTTCATGATTCACATTTGTCCATTGTTTGAGTATCTTTGAGATTAAAGTTATTTTCATCAGTTATACAAGGTCTGTCATCATCTGTGAAGGCGTAGTTTTATTTTGGAGGAGAAGGAGGATAAAGTGTAGATGTAATGAAATACGTGAATGAAACTATTCAATGATAACAAGCTTTTCGAGTAACCTTTACAGTACTGTTCAAAATACTTTGTTCATGATTAACAACCTTACTATACACTCAGTACTTGTTAATAGTTTTCGTTATTGTTGATAAGATGCTTTTTATGAAAAAATTGTTCACATGTCCATCGCATCGATAGTGTGTCGATGGTACAGAATGTCGTTTATTACGACTCGAACAAACGTTTGTATCACGCTATTCTATTAATCTTTTTCTGTTTTTATGCAATACACGCAAATACTCGTTGTTGATCGTATCGCTGTCATCATTATCGTCATCATCGTCATTATCATCAATTCATCATCATCGTCGTCGTCGTCGTCGTTGCGTCGTCGTCGTCATCAATTCATCATTATCGTCGTCATCGTCGTCGTCGTTATCGTCGTTACTATTCTTATTCTTATTCTTATTCTTATTATTATTATTATTATTTTTATTATTTTGATTAATAGCATCCTCAAATCGTCGATATTTCTTGCAACAATGCTATCGTTATGATTTCCTCTTTTATACAATAGATATATGTCAACAGCATCCTTTAATTATTACGTTCATACATATCGATGGTTGTGTCATAATTGTCTTTACTACAAAAGCTATTATTTAAATTAATGTTGTTGTTATTGAGTTGCTTCATTATCATTGAATATTATCCTAACCATCGTTCACTATTCGTTCTTATTGTTATTATTATTATCTTAATCTCCATCATTATTCTCATTCACTTTATTATCGACGAATGCTCTTATCTAAAACAATATAACCGTGGTTAACTTATTCAGAATGGTTCCAATTAGTATTGTAGTTACCTGTTGTGCTGCTACGATACTCTTCGTTACGGGTGTGAATTAAAATATGTGGGATAGAACTTGTAGTGGGAAACCTGAATCGCTAAAGGGACTAGAGGACCTTATATTACGATGCAAGTAGAACGGAAATAGAAAAAGTAAATTCCAAGGTTTTTATAGAGAGTTTGTGCTTGAGCGGATTTGTCTGGACATGCTGTCACACTGTCGCTGTACACTTGTAATGCAAAGGGTTTATATTTAGGGTTTATACATTTGGTAATGCGATAGATCTTTCTCATTATCGTCATCAGTGCCCTCAGCATCCTAATCATCATTGCTATCGTCGTCGTCGTCGTCGTCATGATCACCATCACTATCATCCTCATCGATATTATTATTATTATTATTATTATTATTATTATTATTATTATTATTATTATTATTATTATTATTATTATTATTATTATTATTATTATTATTATTATTATTATTATTATTATTATTATTATTATTATTATTATTATTATTATTATTATTATTATTATTATTATTATTATTATTATTATTATTATTATTATTATTATTATTATTATTATTATTATTATTATTATTATTATTATTATTATTATTATTATTATTATTATTATTATTATTATTATTATTATTATTATTATTATTATTATTATTATTATTATTATTATTATTATTATTATTATTATTATTATTATTATTATTATTATTATTATTATTATTATTATTATTATTATTATTATTATTATTATTATTATTATTATTATTATTATTATTATTATTATTATTATTATTATTATTATTATTATTATTATTATTATTATTATTATTATTATTATTATTATTATTATTATTATTATTATTATTATTATTATTATTATTATTATTATTATTATTATTATTATTATTATTATTATTATTATTATTATTATTATTATTATTATTATTATTATTATTATTATTATTATTATTATTATTATTATTATTATTATTATTATTATTATTATTATTATTATTATTACGTTATTGTTGCCGTTGTTCATTGTTACGAACGATATTATTATTAGAATATTATCGTCATTGTTTTTTATCATTATTATATTCCAATATGAGAAACGATATTATTGTAAATGAATATATGTATCATCGCTATATGGCGGTTATATTATAATTCACCACAGGGTAAAATGATAAATTTAAATGTGTTGGCGAATGACGGCCATTTTATTTTGTGCAAGCGGAGGATACAGCAAAGTCAATTGTTATGAACGTAGCAATATTAAAAATGAAAATTATGGAGTTAGACAAAGAAACTAGAAAGGTAAAGGAACGGTCTGCGAAAACTAAGTATATACGGGGTTACGGAGATGACTTTATACGTGAAAATGTGATTCCATATTAGTCATTGAAAAGTATTTCATTAGATGCCGTGAATTCGAATGTAAACGGTATTAATTTAAGGAAAAGCGGGGCCTTTTTCTTGAATTTTGACGGAACTTGTTATCTATAATAATGCGTCTAGGGAATTAACAGCACGGTAGCTAATCGAAAGATCAGAGTTTTTACATCTTTGAGAGTACAGTTAAGGATTGTTGCAGAGGAGGGCAGAGGGGTTGATTTCAGATTGACGCGTATAACATGCTACATGTGTTTTGCATAACTAGGTGCGCGCATCTTGACGGAGAGCTAACAGTTTACAAACAGCTTCAATTTCGCTGTGAAACAAGTATGAGAATTTTTTCAATAAACAGCTTCAAATTCTTTTATTCTATCCGACTCTATTTTCAGGCTTTGTTTGATATTTAGCAATTCGTCGTTTTTTAGACAGAGTCGAAAATTGTTTAAGCTACTCATATAAACAAAGCACAAAACGTGTAACTAGAAAATATGCGAATATTGTTCTAAGATATTAAAATATTTGTTGCGGAACAATTATTTCTTGTATAGGAGATGTACTCCGTAGTCGTGACAAAATAACTTTAACGTAATCTCGACACAAGGATATAACACCAGCTAAAAGAATGTAAGTTGAAAGTGTCCAGATTTTATAGAATAACAATAGAGATTGTTTTTTTTTTTTAATGATTTTTCCTCCTGATATGCGGGAATTTGTTGCCCCACCTCTCTCCCTTTCTCTTCCATGATTTTTTTCTCCTTTCCGAATGTTGTTGATCTTTTTTTTTTTTTACTAGGCTTCCCCTTCCTCCTTCACTTATGCATAGAGAGTAGCGACGACACACGTCGGATAGGAGTTCCTTCATCTCGATCGGTCGCTATGGTCATGCTTTTAACTATTTGGCGATGTGACTCCTCAGAACTCATTCAAACGCGCTAATTCACAGAGATCCAATATGTGTAGCGTAAGAATTCAACAGAGGCGTAAATTGATGTGGCACGAAATACATTGTCATTGTCAAGTGATTATCAAAGTTATCCTTAAAGAAAGTGAAAATCGTGTCGGCGAAGCGCGTGCGCGAATGTCAAAGAGGGCAAAGAGGGAGGGGAATAGTGATTATACAAGAGTTAATTATACGTTGAGCTGGATGCGAACTAGCAAGAGATGGGAGGAAATAATAAATAACGGTGCAGCCCGCACGTCTATATTATTAAAATAATTAAATGAACGAGCAAATAAATATTAAAAATATTGCATCTATATATAATATATAGATATATATGAATAAATATTATAAAATAATAATGTAACAATTATGCATAATATATTATTATATATAGATGTAATAGATACAAAAACACAGACATGCATACAGACATACCGATACACTAAATTGATACGTAAACTCGTGTATTCAACAAGTTACACGTAGTTACGTGCACGTACATATATACATATATAAACACGGTAAATTACAAGCAGATGTATATGTAGCATCGTAAGTTATTAAATAAGTAAAACGTATAGTTTGATTAAGCAAAATAAGGATAATTGAGAAAAATATTGAAAAATTGTTTTATGCATTTGTATATATTTATTGACGTTTTAAAATAATATATTATATAATAATCAATTAGTGACTATACGAGTAAAGAACATGGAACAGTAAGGAGAGAAATGGTTCGCTGTCAACTGCAGATTGCTTTTTTTCTAAAAGTTCTCGGCTCTCCCTCTGGCTTTGTCACCTGAAATTCTTGTTTGTCTTCGCTCTTAATAACTGAGAAGAGTTGAAAAACCAAGAAAATGACTCTAACGTTTAAATTTCCACACGAGCTATTTTAAACGGAATGTTGTTAGACGTTTGAGAGTCTGATAGTCGTAATCTCATATACATATAAGTATTAGCTCTCCATGGTAACAATTGTTATATAAAGCTGATATTCAAAATTGTCATGACCTTAATGCACGACAGCGATTCGTAAATTGCAGAATAGCAGCAGCAGCAGAGAGAGCGAGAGAGAGAGAGAGAGAGAGAGAGAGAGAGAGAGAGAGAGAGAGAGAGAGAGAGGATGTAACTAAAAAGAAGCAAGGAGGGCTCCTCTATCGAGTACTTGATATAGCAAGGGTGTTCACGTAGGCGTGAAAAATATTATTCTTAAGGTTCCGGTGAATAAATAGTGTGTTATATCGGTAAGAGTAGTGATGTTGACAGAAGGTCATAATGGTTAATTCTTAAGTGAACACGTTTAATAGCGGTTGCAAATTATTGGGGAGTAACACGAAAGAAATAAGTAAAAAAAATCAGAAGCCCTGCATTCGTGTAGGCCGAAAATAAATATTATGTGTGCTGAAGCTGATGGCTATTGTGGAGCAGCGAGTTCGGTTATTTCATATACGTTTTTTTAAGGTCCGGCCGTAATTATGCCTTTGCGCGAAATACAATACATAAATTATAGCAAAGTATTATCAGGGAAGTTGACTTGCAAGGAAAAATTTTATTGGGTGACTGTAATTCACTATTTCGCGAAGAATTAACATGAACGATGCTTGTTCCTCCACACTGGCTTTGTGCATTCACGAAAACAAAAAAAAAAAGATAAAGTTTTTAATGTTACAAAAGGTAGATTATTAGCGGATTATTTCGAAAAAAGGATGTGATCGTACGCGT